CCTCTTCTTCTTGTCCTGTATACTGAAGAAATGTCACTCTCAAAATAGGCCAGCAGCTGAGCTTTTCCTGTCTCTCCATATTCATGTGATTCCTGGAGCAGGGTTATGCTGAGCCAGCAGAGGGAAAGCAGCATGTCTTTGTGCGGTGTGGTTTTAGTTTAAAAAAAAAAACCCAACTTTCTTTTTAGCTGAAACCTAAGTATGGTTCTGTACTAATTTATTAATGCTTTGCCTCACTCCTAAAATTGATTCCTTGGGGTAGAATTCACCTAAAATACAGAGCAAAGCGCTGTAAAAGCTAGCATGTACGTGCTTTGGGGTGAGAGACGTGTCCTTCAGCAGCGTGATTTCCTCCCCTTGGCTCCGAGAGGAGCCTGGGATGACTGGCTCAGGCAGCAACACTTCTGTTACCAGCTCATAAAGGTGTGTGGGATGAATCCCGCTCTGTGCTTCACCAGCTGGGAAGCTGGAGAGTCAAATCCTGGTTTTCCTTGCAGTGTAACTCCCCTCTTCTCCTTTTCCCATCTAGGCTGGCTGCATGTATGTTCACGGAGGGGTGATCAACATCCATGAAAACAAACGGACTGGCTCTCTGTTTAAAATGTGGCTGGTGGTACCCAGCCTGCTGGAACTGTCATGGGAGAAGCTCCTGGCATATTTCCCTCATCTAGCAACTCTTTCCAGATCTCAGCTTTTGCACCTTGGACTGACGCAGGGACTTGTTGAGCGACTAAAATGAGAACATCTCATGCTTCTGCCTGAGACACACTACGTTCAAGAAGCCCCCTCCCACCCCCCTATTTATGGATAGCGTGGATGGTCTTGCTAAGAACCTGGAGGAACCTGCTCAACGCCTTACTCAGCAAATACATCGATGCCTTCCTAGAAATTTTTACTTTAAGTTGTTGAAAATCCATTTTTTTATTTATGGAGCTCTGAATTACACCATTAATCCAAAATATTCTCTGGGGCTAATCCATAACATCCAACCATCACTCTCATCAGCACATGCTTGCAACTTAATTGGGGAGGGTGGAGAGCTTGGTGAATGTCTGAGCCCATGCTTACACGTGGCGCATTCAACTTACCATTTTCACAAGCTGTATCTAACAGAGAACATTCACTGCAGAACAACAGCCAACCTGTTCTTTTGCTTTGGGTGCTACTCACCCCCCACCACCACGCAGCTGAGCCCTCCCTCTATAAATCCGAGAACTTCTGCTTGAAGGCTTTGCATGTGTTTCGTGGGCACGTTCCCATCTCTTTGAGCTTCAGAAGACGGCTGGAACATCGCACAGGGCAGGGAGCGAAGCTTTGCCCATGCAGCTTTTCTGGTGCAGTGTGCAGTGATTTGAAACACCCTGTGTCTGTGTTCCTCACCTTTTCATATTGAAAGGTTTGCTTGGAAGACTGGTTAAAAGTTACCGCTTAATGGACTACTGTGTAGTTTACTTGGGGTGGTGAGGGGAGGGAAAAGGTTTTGCTGAATCCTTTTTAACTCTTTCTGCTCACATTGCTAACTGCAAAAAAAAAAAAACCTTACCCCGTAGATTTCAGAGCTGTCTTTTAACCCACAGCGTGTTCTACCCCGTGCTTGGGTGCAAGCCACCCACGCCAACTCCGTCCTGGTTATCAGCGATCGGACTCTTAACGCGTACCTGTAAGCTTTTTGTTTTGCTCCCTCCCACGCATCACGCGTTGACCTTGTTCTAGTTAGCTTCATGTTCCTCTGGGGGTGGAGGATGTTACTGGTGCGTGTGGTTTTTAATGCAGGTCCTTGGAAGCTTGTGGATCACTCATCCCAGGAAACACAGCATCAAAAAAAAAAGGGGAGAGAGAACATCTCTCCCTCTTGCTGGGAGCAGCGGTCATCTCTGCAGAGGCTGGGGAGGAAAGGGTGGCTGGCTGGCTGGCGTCTATACTGTAAGGTAGCTCTAGAGACCACGTGTAAGTGACCATCAAACTCTCAGCAGCTCCACGTAGCTGGCATCAGGTTTGTGCAAAATCCTTTTCATTTTTAAGTGCCTTTTTAAAAAAAAAAAAAAATCAGCTTTTCCCACTACCTTCTCCTTCCATCAAAGGCAAAAGTTAAACTCTTGGGGTTTAGTTTCTTTTTAAGAGGTTGCATTTATGTTTAAATAAATCATAGCTTTTTTTTTTTTATGTTAATCTGAACAGCAGTGGCTGTGAGTCACCAATACCCACCCTTTGAAGTGTTCCCGTGTCCCCCAACATTAATCTTCCCCTGTTTGTGGGGATAGAATTTTTCCCCTCCTGTAGCCTCAGCTGCTGGTTTATTGTTTTAGTTTGGGGCTGGTTTTTTTCCCCCCAAGACCCAGGAAAAATAAAAGTTGGGTATCATAGCTGAAGCGTTCTCTGGTGCTTTGGGCCATGGAAACTGGTGGCAGCTGGTTGTAGTTCTGTGGTATCTGCCCCCCCCGCATTGTACCTTTGCACAAGGGCAAAGCTGGGACCCTCAGCTGCCCCATGGGGCTTTCACAGCCCCCCAACTCTGGGTTTGGGTTGGCTTCTAGCAAAGAGCCTGTGCGGCAACACACCTTTGCTCCTGAAGAGTATTGTTATCCTATTTCAACCCCTTGCCACCCTCCCTGGCTGCTTGCTGCAGCATCCCACTGCTCCTGGCTCAGGGGCTGACCCCAGACCTTGCAGGCCAGCTGTGGGCTTGTGGTGTCCTCTTCTGTAGGACCACCGTGGGCCAACGGGCCTTTTCTCCAGCCCCCCTCTTCTGGCCTGGAGTCAGTGGCTCTCACCTCCTTGCAGAGGCTGAAGTTCTGCACTTACTCTTTGTCTTCTGGCCCCCAGTTCTGCTGAGACCTTTGTACTGGAACAGCCTGGTCACACATATGCTGGTTCTTCCCTCACCTACTTTAAAGAGCATCTCCCATCATCACCGAGGCAATATTAAAACCAGATCTCTGATCAGGCAGATGATTGCTGATCTTGGAGGCTGCTCTTCCTAAGGAGTCACTCGTTTGAAGCACGGCAAGGCTCACTGCTCCCTTGTGAGGGTTTGAGTGGTTGCCACTCCGCTGGACGTGGAGTTTTTGAACGACAGAAGCTTCTTGCTTGCTCACAGGGGCAGAGGCTTCGTTCTGGAATGTGGCTTAAAGGATAGATGACACCAGGCTTTTCTTCATCTCCTGCACGTCTTCACCTCCAGCCCTGGTGATGTCCCAGTACTGGTTCCTCCCTTTTAAGGACAAATTAACTCCCCCTGTGCAATACCATACTCAAGAAAGCAGAGTGTTAACTGCCTCTACCAGGGCAGGGCCACGATTTCCCAAAGGGCGAGGGAAAAAGTTCAGCTTATACAGCAACTGGTGGAGGGAGAGGAGTTAAGAACATCGGCATTGCTGCCCAGGATGGGGACAGGCCACTACCACCAAGGCTGGGTCTGGCTCCAGGAGAAGTCCCAAGTATCCCTCACCCCGGAGCAGATGTTTACTGTTCTGCAGGAGAACCCGCTCAGTGCCACCATCTTCTGGCCTCCCAGCCCGCGCCTTTGCCGTCTCTTACTGCCTCGAGCCCATCTGCCGCCATCAGCCAACGCTGGGAACTCCCCCAGGAATCTTCCCAAACGTCCGTATTTATTAATGACATCAGGATTGTCCATACTGATGCTATACTAAGAAAACAAAGCAAGCTTGATCAAGCAGCATCTTTAATTCCTAACGAGCAACCTGCCCTCCTTTGGGAAGGAGGGGGATCCTGGGCAGCTGCCTGCCTTACTCCGGGCTGTTTAGAGTCTAGGCCTGGTTTTTATTGACTCTGAGACCTTTTGGAGTCCACCGTTGGCGATGCAGGCAGCGAGCAGCACTCCCCTCTCTGGTTTTTATGCCAGAGTACAGGCTGGGGAGGGAGAAAAGGTAGAGGAGCTGCAGTGCCTGTATTTATCTATCTGTGTTTTGCTTTTTGGGTTGGTTTTTTGGTTTGTTTTTTAAAGTTCTGATAATAAATCAGTCCAAGCCCCCCCTGCCTTTGTCCTCTCACCCACTAGCATTTCCCTTTGCAGAGAGGGAAATGAGCTGGTCCCTGGCACCTTGCAAACAGCACCAGGAGCATCCCTGACCCTTTTTAAAAGCCCTCCGAGCAAGGATGACCCAGGAGAGTCAGACAAGACCAGGCGGGAAACAAGAGCTGGAGCTTAGGAAGGATCACGGAGGAAGCTGGAGCCCACAGCCACGCTGCTGCTGGCTCGGTCCCTCTGTCCCTGTGGCAGCGTGGTGGAGCTCCCCTGGAAGCTGCTCCAGCGCTGGGGTAGGACATCGAGTGCTGTCCTGCTCTGATCCCAGGGCTGCTGACTCCAACCAAGCCACTGCTGGTGCCCAACACCAACCGCGTTAGGAGCCAGCCTCGGTGGGCACCAAGCGGCCATCACCCCAAGAGCAGCACTAACCTGGGTGGGGGGGCACGGAGAGGCCCAGACAGGTGAATTAAGGGTCGTTTAAGGAAAAAGAGGTTTGTTTCTGATTCATACAAAACTGCTTTAATGACAAAAAACCAGCTGAAAAAGACTTTTTGGTGCATTTCTAATACCATCAAGAAGCCTTGTGTGATCCCCAGCCCTGAGTCCCTTCCAGGCCCAGAATCACCCACTGCCTGGAAGGACAAGAGGCTCTTTTCAGGCACCTTCTTACAGTGCGACACATCTGTCCTTGAGACCACACCGGAACCCCCTTCAAGACCCTCCACTAAGGACAATTTTCCTTCCAACCACACAAGCGTGGGCTGGACGTACCTCTGTGAAGTGCCCTGGCATTGGGGCTCCTCCTTGGTTCAGGAGTGCTTCCATTGCCACCACCCTTCCCATCCCTGAAGCCCCACTGGCACCCCCACCAGAGGAGCCAGGCAGCAGCAGGAGCTTCGGCAAACGATGCTTCCGGACCGGAGCCAGCCCAGCCGAGTCCCTGAGACACCAGATAACACCCCGATGAGCGCTGAACTCAAACGGGAGGGTTGGAGAAAGTAGAGTCCAAACCTCAGCAACCACTGGGCGATGGGGCGAAGAAATACACAGCCAGGAGGATGAAGTAGACCATCACCAGCACCGTGCCTAGGGCAGACAGAGCAGGTTGGAGAGGGTTACTCCCTGGAGCAGGGAAGGAGGTTGCTTTCAAGACCTTCTAGGGTGGTCTGGGTTAGCTCGCTCTATGGGATTTGCAAGGGCGTCTGCAAAAATCTCAATTGGAAGGGGTTTAATAAGGAGGAAGAGAGTGATCCCCCCTTCGGAGCTGCTGCAGGGTACCAGCTCCAGTCCTGGCCCAGCATTTCCAAGATGGTCAACCAAGACCCCAGAATTGCTTAAGCCACCACATGTCAAGAGCTGCACCAAGCAGATGACCCCAGGGCTGGTTCCAGGAGCCCCCCACCCCATCAGCGCAAGGAAGCTGGGTACACCATGTCCCACAACAACAGCCTCACGGGTGAGCAGTCACCTTGAAAGTAGTCACATTTGCCATCCATGAAGATGTAGTTCATGAGCACCACGCTGAACATGCTGGCGTAGACGTGGAGGTCACTGAAGACAAGCGTGAAGTTGGTCGGCTGTGAGACACAGAGGATTTTGGATTTATGGCCAACTAAGGACAGCCCCACGCCAACTGTGGCTGGGGACTTGCATGTCACCCCTTGAGCCCCCTCTGCCATGTGCCCCTAGGGCTGGGGACAGCATCAGCCAAGGTAGGAGACATCTGACCCTACTTCCCCCTGCACTGAGCAGAGGGGAGGAGACACTGGGGATGGTGGTTGTGCCCTTGCCACATCTCATGGAGTGCTCTGTGTCCCCAACCCTGCTGCAGGAGGTCACCCAGGGGCTGTCCTGGGGCTACTCACGTAGAAGATGGTGAAGAGCACCAGGATGGGGATCTGGAGCATGCAGACCTGGACAGCGATGCAGTTCCCAATCTCGATGCTGGGGAGGACAGAGAACTTAAGAGCTGCCAAGCACCAGGTCTCAGCACCTTCTGGGTGGCTCAGCTCAGCGTGAGGAAAAAAAAAAAAACCACCCTACACCTTGGGAAAGCAACCTGGTTCCAGCCCCATATTTTGGGTGGCTTTAAGTGCTCTTGAGGACAAGTTGGCAGGGATCTGACCCTGCAGTGGCGAGAAGCTGGGCAGCCCATCACTGGCACCAAGACACAGCTGTGGCACTGGGACAGGGCATGGGGACTGTGCTGGAGGAAGACACCTCAGAACTCATCCTTGGAGCCATCTCACCTCAGACTCAGGTTGTTCTGCAGGGCAAACTGGATGCCATTGACGATCTCTGGCAGCTCAGGTACCATCGCCAGCACAGTGACACCAATGAAGTACTGCGGGGAAGAGGTGACATCAGTGCATGCATATGGCCTGATCCTGACCACATCCTAGCCATGGGCAACCTCAGTGCATGGAGCATCTCATCACCTTTCCCCTGGCTTTTGGGGTTCAACCCCGCAGCCAGGGCAGGTTCCCATCCCTGGAGGGCACATCTTGGTCCCCAGGGCCACCCAAACCTGGCTCACCACCATCCCCACACTCACCTGTGAGATGGTGGAGTTGGTGAGGATGGGGCTGATGTGCTCCGTGGCCAGGTCAGCACAGGCTGACATACAGAGGGTGGAGAGCAGGAGGATGACCAGGGCCCGCCAGCGAGACCAGTGGACCACAGCACTGTGGTGGTGGCCAGGCACTGGGGGAAGAGCAGATACGTGGTGGGACACCTTGGAGCAGTGAGAAGAGCCAGCCCCACAGCCAGGGCACCCCTCGGTTTGGGGACACTCACTGTGACAGTCGCTGATGTGGATGTCGTAGATGTGTGAGTGAGTTTTCAGGGTGAAGAAGAGACCGATGAGGTAGGCAGCAGGGAGCAGGAGGGACACTGTGTACACCAGGGGTCTGTGGGACATGGGTGACACATTCAGTGCCACCGAGGTCCAGCATGGAGATGCCAGGGGTGTCCCCTGCACCATCTGGGGATGGAGGAGATGGGGGCGCAGGATAGGAACCCTTCAGAGTGGCAAAGAGGGGACCTGGGAGGGATGTGGGGCCACAACCCAGCCTGGGAGGTGCCACCCTACTGTAGTGACAACCCTGTCCCCACCCCAGTAGACACTCACTGGACGTGACTGTAGTAGAGGGTGCCGTTGTTCTCCATCTGTGGAGAGAGAGCCTGTCACCAGGGAAGCAGGGGACAAGGGACAGCCCCACTGCCACCACCAAGAGCAGAAGCCAGGTGGGCTGGGAGCATCCCCGACCCCAAACCCCAGCAGTTGGGGGGTCAGCGTTCCCACTCACCAGGTCAAAGTGACAGTTGTGGCAGAGGTAGTGGCCCAGCGGGTTCTGGGTGACGTTGTGGCACTCGC